ATATAAATGTACATAGGATAAGTGAATTTTAAAGGTATCAAATTTGAATTAAAAGGTACAAAGTATGATGCTTATTATGCATGAAAAACCAAACCATTTGCAGGATGAAATTGTTTTGTTTCCCTAGGCTATTGAGATTTTAGAGAATTGAATTGGTATAAACCTTTAAAAAGTTACATGAAAATCACTGAATTTATAATTATTAAGAAATATTGCCATACGTATTCATGTTTGAAGCTCCAAAAGTTGAATTGATATTAGTAAATACTCTATCAAATATTCTTAAAATATCATAAAAATAGATTTCTTTTTTATCATATTATGATTTTCAAATATTTTTTTCTTCTTTTATATGAAAAAATTAAAAGTACCAAATTTTCATTTTTAATCTAATTTGATATAGTTAACTGCACATATTTACAAAGCTTTAATTATTACTTTTACATAAAATATAATTATGAAAAAAAAACATTAAAATTGACAGTAAAATTTACTTTTTGTTGAAATAAATGCTAAAATACTAAGAACAAATATGTCATCAAATTTTGTAATTTTCATCTCATACTATTGTCTTGAATAAATATCAACATCCTTTAATCATTGTTATTGAGAGATTTTTAAACTTTACAGTATATATCATTGTACATCAAAACTTCAATACCATCAGATAATCTTGTTTTACTAAACATTAAAAACAAACAATTGTTTTGTAATACTATTTGTATGTTTAAACATCTCAAATAGTCAATAAAATATCAATCTATCACATGAACTAAATTTTTACATTATATCTAAGTTACATATTATATACACATCTATATGATATAATATGAATAAAATAATTTACAAAAAATTATATAGAGAAATATATTCTAAATTTACATTTACCACACACAGAAAAATGATTATTTTTTCTTTAAAAACTTTTTAGATAAAAGTATGGTTCATATTGATGAAATTTTTAGAAATTACAAAGAATATAATTATTGAAAAACTGGCATAAACATATTTAAAATTTTTACTTTACCATTTTTCATTTTATTTTTTTACTAATGAAATAATTTTTTTATTTTTTATGAATTAAATTAAATCTTGTTACAACTGTTCATCATTTAGCTGTAAAAAAATCAAATAAATTAATTTAACTGAATTAGTTGTTAATAATAGTTAGATTTTCATTATTAATCTTAAATATGAAAATCATTTGGATCAAATAGTCAATAAATAACTATAGCTTTGAAAATTGTGTTGTTAATGCATGTTTTGAAAATACACAAGAACTGAGATAACTTAATTTAATAAAAATGAATATAAAATAATTAAATTCTTTTTTGAAAAGCATATTTTTTTCTAATTTGTACAACGACATTGCATGAAGTAGTATGTTTAATGAGCCAGAAGTATTACAAACATTTATAAGCTACTAGGTTTTTGAAATTTGTTTCACAAAGATATCAAAAGTAATTGTTTATAACTTCATTTGAATCCAAAATTGGAGTTTTAAAAGGCTGGAATATCTTCATGATGCAATTTTTATAGTTTATTGAATAATTAAAGCAATAAAAAAGCTTACAATCAATGAAGATGATTTGGGACAAATTATGCAAAATGTAAGATGTTGAGTTTGAAATCAAGATTATCGATCAACATCTAAAATATAAGCTTAAAGAATTTGATGTAAATGAACCAACAATTAATTGATTGATGTGTGTACAAGGTTGAAAGGAAGTAAATATAATTTCAAGTATTCATGAAGTTTCATGAAGTGATGAATTCCCCTGGCAATTTAAAAAAACATATAAAGTAAATGATAAATTTATTCACCTGGTGTTATAAGAGATATTTATGATCTGAAGTTGATTACAAAAATCTTCAGAAATTATAAATAACCACGATGTGTTTGCATGTCAACATATATAATTCAAAATAATATTTGTTCATTTAATAAAGAAATTTTGCCATGACTCTTATTTGAAGTTAAAGATATTGTGTAAAAATAATATATTGTAGATTGTTATTTTTATATATAGTAAGACTATTAATATTCACACAAATTTATGTGATTGCATGTGTTTGTTGTTGAATAAAATATGTTGTCAATGTATAATAAAATTCAGAGCAATACAACTTAACTAAAATTTATTTGTGTACATAGATTTTTCATTCTTGTGATCATATCCTGCCTCGTAGCCACGAGATACGGTATAATTATGTGCAGTCACAAAACTACTGAGTGTTTACTGCTAGAATTCAAGTTGTAATCAACAATGTCAACCCATCTTTTAGTAAAATTGATCTCTCTCATCATAGCTAGACATTAGCAAGATAAAGTAAAATACTTTTTATGTACGGATAAAAGGTATTAGTCACGTGTAAATGTTTGAAGGTAACCAATGGGTAAGGTAGAGGATAGTATAAAGATAGTGTAATTATCCCAACCAGGAAAATTACTTGTTAACTTGGCGACTTGGTTAATTGACAACTTTTGTTAACTTGGCATTAAATTGGTTAATTATCCAAAAGAGTGAGCATATTGATCTTTCGATGATCTGAGTGATCAACAATCAAGATGAACAACACGGACGATGAAATTTTCAATAACGTTTTCCAGTTTGACAACGACAACAAAGAGGAAAATATCAACTTTGCGAAACTTATCTCGGTACTGACTTTGAGCATCTCTAAGTGTAAGCTACAGAAGCTCAATTTTACGTAGATGTATGTTCACGATTGGCAATCTGGCGATCGTTCAAACGAGCTGAACAAACGCAAATGCACGTTTTGCAAAAAATAATAATCCTAAAAAACCAATGAGTAAGGTTGGAAGTCTCACTTGAAATCGAAATACGAAGTCAAAGATAGCAAAAGATCTTTCTCCAAACCGCTCATCAAGTGCTTGACGCAATACACAATCGCCAAATACATGATTTTGCCAAAGATACTCAAGATCTTGGAAAATTGAGCGACAGGAGCTGCAGCAATCAGGTACGCAGACAAAGAGAATCCCACCAATGAGATTGAAGACATCGTCAACCAGTTGGAGATTGAACAAGATGATTGATATAAGGAAGTTCTCGATGACGCCATTGTGCATATGCTCAATAACCAATTTTTAAAAATAATCTTTCAGGTCTACTTGAAGTGAAGTATTCTCAAATAAACATTGTGAAAATTGTATTGGCAATTTGATTTTTGTATTTTTTATTCTTATTGGAGTAAAAATCTAATTAAGTGAAGGTATGAAAAGCATGCCCATTGTGCTAAGAGTAAAGGTAAAGTAAAGGTAGAGGACATTTTATTACCCATTAAACATTCAACTCACCTTGCCCAGGACTAATCATAGCTTGTATGAATTGCATCGTTGGTTTTTAGTGTGATGAATCAATCCAATGTTGGATTGCTTTTCCAACCTTGAGGAAAAGATACACAACTCACCTTCTCTCTAAGTTCACTTGATACACAATCTATAATTGCTGCAGTCAGTTTGTAAATGTGTAATTTTGTTGTTAAACAATCTTCAATCTGTATAGGATGTGCCAGAATCAACATTGTTAAATCACCGAGCATGCTAGAGGTGTTGAGTTTGGCTGTTTTCAAAACCTACTATAGTCTTCTACTTTTCGGTAATGAGTAGGTCACTAAGATTCTTGCTCAGCCTCAGTCTTCATAAGAGATGCTAGGATCGACATTGCTACATCACCAAGCATGCTAGGCCTGTTGCCAAAACCTCCGACAAAAATCTACGTCTTTGAAGTGAGGAGGTCGCCAAGATCTTGCTTGGCCGGAATAGCTCAGCCACCAAAAAAACAGGCTTTCGACCATTGAACGTGGAATTCAGTAAGAGCAAAGCAGACCAAGTCGTTTCACTCCAGCCAATAATCAGAGGTTCACAGCAATCACGTTTCGTATAAAAATACGCTTTCTTGTACACCCTCCGTAGATATGTACCGAAAGTTTGTGCTGCGAGGAAATTGATTCTAAACGAAGCACTTAGTCTATGGGCAGCACCGGGATGAATCTTGTGAGGAAGTGTACAGAAAGCTCGAAGCTGGTTCTCACAGACTAGAAGCACAATTCATAATCAGATGGCGGGTATCACGTCCACGAGCTGTCTTTCCAATTATAGAGCGGGTGAGCGAGTGAGCTTGCGAAGTCTGTCGCTCTCGCGGAGTACGAGCTCCAGACCGACTGGGTGGGTCGAGCCTCGTGGCCCCTTCGAGAAGAGCACGATGGCGGGCGGAATGGTGGCCCATGAGCGAGCGAGCGAGGCTCAGAGCGTGGGGCCTAGCCCCGGCCCGACCCGCGTCTTCCGAACCGTCTGAACCCGTAGTTACGCCGCTCTCATGTCCGGGGAGACGACGACGCAGTCGCTCCGGAACCCGACCGAGGTCCTCGTGGTTTGGGCCGAGGTCCGGAGGAAGGGGAGAGGGCGAAGAGGGACTTTGGACTATGGACGATGGACTACTGATAGTACGGAGAGTGGACCGACTGTCTGCGTCAGGAGTCGTCCAGATCGGTGAAAACCTGCAGGGGGACCTGCGGGCTGTGAATCGTCCATCGTTGGCCGCAGAGAGTCTCCTACGCGTCAAATCCAAGGCCCGGCCGACACACTCCCCTTAGGCCAGCAGAATCTCATTGAAAACGTGCGCCTCTTTCTTCTCTCGCTTTGCCTTGTTCTGCCTTTCTCTCAAAGCTCCTTCGTTCATTCATTTCAACGAAATGATTGAACCACGGACGTATGGCCGACGCATTTCGGATTGGCCTTACTCCGAATTCGGGATTTTTTTATATATTTCGCATTAATGCTCGTAGTCGTTGTGGACGAGCGAGCACGATCCCATGTTTGGAAGTCGTAACTTTCCCACCTCGTTCGTTTGCCCTCGGCCTCTCTTCTTTTTTCGCTTGCTTGCTTGGTTTCCCCTGTCCAGGTGTGGTGGGTGGCAGGGCTTCCCCTTGAGAGAGAAAATATCCTCTAGCTTGCTCCCCGCAGAGCACCATTCTATTCTTATCTATACTACGGAAAGAAAGAGATCGAGAGCTGGTTTACAGTTTTTTGTGTTCTTTTTAGCCTTTTGATCCCCTCGGATCCCCCGGGCTTGAAAGACAGAGATCGAGAGCTGGTTTTCACACATACTAGCTCTCTCTCTCACTGCCGGGGGAGAAAGCGAGGTCAAGGCTAGCCGAGTCAAGACGACGAGGCCTACGGTAGCTCGAGACGCAATTGTCAGCGGATGCTATATCGAATTAAAATGGATGCATCGGATGTGGTTATATACGGTGATGGGTGCAGTGTTGTGCTTGCTGCACAGGTGTCGGAGCGATGAGAGGTCATTCGGTCACTGTCATTCAGTGAGAGAACACTAACATCTGAAACCGGATAACGTCCTGCTGAGGAATTGATGACATCAGTCCGGGCCAATGCCTGCTCGCCTCGACAGAAGCGGTCGGGTTGCATTCGAAGTCTTTGTAGAGTCTGCCGTGTGAACCTATTCGAGAATATCCCAAGACAAACTGCGTGAATCGAGAAAGAAGAAACTAGAAAAATTGCATGTCTGCAAACATGCAAAGGTAGCAAGGCCTGAAGAACATTCCGAATTCTCTAAGGAAAAGACCGAGCTCCGGCTCAACCCATCTTTCGCGGTGAACTGGTTTGCGGTCTTGAACTTGTATCAGTTTGTACCCGAGCGCTGCTCGTCAGTTCTCTCAACGCAAGGGGTGGGGGGTGCCATGAGGTCTCTCCCTGAGCATTCAATTCAAACCCATGGGCCTCAAAAGTCTGAAAAGCGTCCGCACACGACTACAGCAGCAACAACACATGTGTTTTTAGCCCCCCACTGGGACGTCTACGTCATTCCCCTCGTGGGAACTGCCCTGCTAGACCTCGTCTGACAGGTCGTTCTCAGATAGATTGATTCATCACTCCAGGACACCCCTCCTCCTCTCCCCTCCCCTCCGTACGTACGTGTACTCCAATTCCCTTTTCCTTCGAATCTAGTACACGGCTGAGAACCGTCAACTTGACCATCTAACGGTGAGCCAAATCGTTTTGAAATGTGCTCAGTACGGCCGGGCGGCTGGCCAGTGATCAACCAGCACAAGCTCCGCTGCGGCAGCCAAAAGCTCTGAGAATGATTAAGCGACAGAGTTGGGGGAGACGAGGGAGACGAGGGAGGAGGGAGGAAGGAGGGAGGGAGGAGGGAGTGAAAAGGTAAGGCAGTAAAATTTTGAATATCGAAACCAGCAGAGGCCTACGGTTCGCTATAGTATGGACCATGAATTTGTCCTTTGCACTACTTCTGTACTGTATAGTACAGAAAATGCGACTGAGCAGAAGGAAGAGGACGGATCGGATCGGCGTCGATCGGCATGGCCAGCTTGCGGGCCTGCGCAGGGCCGGGCAGGGCAGGGCAGAGCATGGCAGGACCGAGTTCAAGGCAGACGTCTGGGCATGTATAAGTGACGACGTCATCTTATCACAACTTTCAACATCAGAGCTGAAATCATTGTGGTGGATTCTGTGGTGCACGAAATATGGTTCAGAAATTCCAGTCATGGGTGAGATCGAGGGAAAGGTATGGGTCGAACGAACAGTGGATTCTAGAATTCGAATCCACAGAGAGTTGTGTCATGGAGCGCAAAACAAAGCACATCCAAAAGGCAGCAATGGAAGTAAGCGGTCATGGGGAATACAAATATATGTGTGATGACGATTGTTTTGTGGCTCGCTCCATGGAATCTGTATGCTGTTGTTCCGTTTGATGGATGAATCGATCGCTCGCACATTCGACTCATGTGAGCTCAACAGTGTCCACTGAGCCGACGCTGCGGCATATGGGGTTCGGTCACTGTGACCGCTGGAGAGAGCATACACAGACTGCATGGCATGCGATGAGCGAAAGGCGATGCCTTTCGCCCACAGATCCCGCGCCCGATAGAGAGCGACAGAGTGTGCGGTCCGAATAAAATATTGGCAGGAAGTAGCAATATACCCAACAAATACAGTGATTGCTGATCTATAACAACCATGCGAAATTCTGCGGGCATTGTCGTGTGAGGTGAGGTGGTCTCGGCCGCAAATGGTGCTGAGCCCGGATCGGCTTCTACCGGAAGTGAGATTACAATGTGTTGTGTCCACCACAGCATGACACACACCTGCCACGGCCGACGGACCGACCTCTCGTCATCGCTGATTAGCTCCCAGTCTCCAAGTCTCCAAGCGTCGTCCTCATGAGAACATCAACTGCGCACAACATGCAATTGGTGCCGGTCGGAAACTCCTATGCACGGCGCCGCCACTTGCAACTTGCTTCACAATAGTCCTTGTTGTTGCAGAAGAAGAAGCAGATGCAGAAGCTAAACCGGCAGCTACCGTCTGCACAGTGCTCCTTCTCACTCCTAGCCCCAGAGCTTTCTCAGGACCAGTGCCCGCCCCGCCTCAACCCAGCTTAGATCCCAGAGCCCAGGCAAGAGACTGGAGTCTGGAGGGGCGTGTGTCTGATGGCGAGAATCATCAGCCTTTTCCTTGATGGACGGAAGGAACAAACGTTGTGCTGAGTTACGTGACTTTGACCCCTTCCCGTACTCCTACTCCTAATTCTTCTACAACCACGCTGCGCTGCAGTACTGTCGATCATCAACAGTACCCCTGTGTTCTGCATTCTCGCTCGCTCGGATGGCTGTTGTTTGGACTCAGTCCGTCCGTCAGTCAGGGTTTGCTACCGCGAATGGTTCGGGGTCGGCCATGCTCTCTCTTGTATCAGGAAAGAATCTGAATACTCCTCCCACCTTTCCGGGTATTAGTCCTTGTTGTTCAGCATGATGCATAATAGCCTTCGCTTACTTTATCCTAGTCGTGCGTGACAACAAATTCCCAGTGAGTGAGCCCCTCCTCCCGCCCAGGCACCCTCCTGTGTTTGTTTTCTTTCATATTATTAACAAGTGGAGGGAAGAGAGAGAGAGAGAGAGAGAGAGAGAGAGAGAGAGACTGTACTCAGACTGGCCGGTTCGGAATCTGCTATCCATAAGGTATGCATCCAAGCGAGTAGAGAGATCCCAGTACGTTGTCTGTCCGTAGAGATCGAAGAGGGCAACTGGGAGCGAGGCAGGCTGATGCGCTCAGACGAGTGCTTCAGCCTAAACCCTGAGCTGAGCCTAGCAGAACTTTAGAGAACTGACCTTCATGCCTCGCAGTTCATCTACAATCCCATTTTTCACGTGGACAAAGGGCCTGAGAAAATAGCCAGATGCCTAATAGGAACACATGTGGGACGCCTTGTGTGGATCCAAAAATATTTGCATGGATGTAAAGACTCGATCTTTACTCTTTTGTTTTTCCTAGACCTAAACACCATCCAGTCATTATTTGGCCCTTGGAACAATGCACCTGCCTTGGGAATCAAAGACTCGAGCTAGTAGATCGTCTAGAGGGTCTAGTTCCCGGATCCAACTCAAGATTCACATTCGGTACCGCGCTAGCACGAGAGTTGAAGACATGCCTCCTCTCCTCAGTGCGTCACATCCATCGACGCTGTGATAGATCACGTGGCCAGAACATACTACAATGCGGTTTTGCCAATCTCACGAGACCCGCCCCATGGCTCGCTGTATCTATCTGTGAACACATGAACAGCCCCGAGTACGAACCACAGTGCGAGAACTTCTCACTATGATTCGCCCTCTCCAAGGAAAACGCAGAGCGAATGAGCGAGGTCGATAACACCCGCTGCGATTAGAGGAAGGTAACTACTGATAGATTCTCTGGCACATGTAGGGGCCAGAGATAACGATCTGCATTAGAGCCGGCAGTTTGGCAGCTGGGACAACTACAGCAGAAGAGTAAGGAAGCTCTTTCTCGTGTGTGAGGAGGAGCAGTAAATTGGTTACGACTATTCTCCAACCAGCAGAAGAAACATAATCTATAGATCCAGATATCGTTGACAGAATTGGAAACCCAGACAAAGGTCCGATGAAATGATCCGGATTGGGCTAAACAAGCAAGCTGTTGAGTGGCAAGGCGGGTTTGAACTTCGAGCCTTGAGCCCTGGGCCTCGAGGAAGTTTTAGGAGGAACTCGTCCCCTCGTCCTCCTCCTCGAAGATCAACTTCGAATGTGGGTCAAGGCTCGAAGGCTTCGGTCAATTCAGACCATAATCTGTGCCATCAAGGTCCGCTAAGCGTCTGACTAGCTAGTTGCGGGGGGGGGGGGGGGGGGGGGGGGTGGGGGGGAATGCCGCGGATAGAACCTTTTCTCCAATGATGATGATGATTCTAAATTCTGTCAACAGTAGGAAGAATTCACAGTTGGACTTACTAAAACTACACCGGGGTGGCCACCGGGGTCACGAAGTCTAGGATGCCGCGGATCTCGGTCCTAAGCAAAGACAGAAACGTCCAGGCAGCGCAGACCAAACAAAACATCACTCCCATGTGCCTGAAATGAACCAAAGGGGCTCCTGGAATATTGGCCAGACGTAAACGTGCGCGAACGGATTCTCTCTCAACTATAGTCGCAGGAGACAAGGTCACCCCGTATTAACCACCGTACAGTATAGGCGAAGGTGCCCTCACAGGTCACTCCTCAAAGCCTCAAGTCCACTCCTTTTTACGTGCTTCACCCCCCAACAGAAAGGTCTGTTGGACCCTGAGGGCTTTTTCTGAGCGCTTTGGGATAATATATATTTTTCCATGGATAATCTATTTTCACTGGCTGCATTGAGGTCGTCTTAGCCAACCAATGCTGCTGGATTCAAACCAAATCTTCCTTAGGCAATGGTCAACAATCACGCCAGAGTTTTTAAACGTGTGTTCTCGGTTATCCTCGCCTCGTTCGCTCGTTCTTCTCCGCGGTTGCCCTCATGGGAACCATGATGCTACGAGGCAAACCGTGTTCCTGTCTAGCTTAATAGCACAACCCTCACATGGCAGTTGAATCGACCTCTGCGTTCGCCTCGCCTGCTAGCCTCGGTAGGTTTAGGTGGGCTCGTTGAGGGCTCTCCAAAGTCGACCCCAAATGGCAGATAAGGTCGCTGCAGGGAATTTGTCAGCTCGTCTCGAGCCCCGAGTTTTGACCCCTCCTGGAACACGAACATGGGATAAACTCTGGAAATTCAACCCGTCATGAAACTCATAAAGACCCACGATATTCCACTATTGGTGACGACATCAGGTCCTCTGTCTCATCGACAGATAACATTTCTCTCTCACTCCTTCTTCCTTCTAAGTACCTCTAAGTGAGAGGACCTTCTCACCTTTGTGGGACTTCGACCACAAAAAGTCGGGAATCCTCTTCACTCAGGTCTTCAACATCGATGGAGTATCAGGGTATGCAACCCATTATTGAAGTGGTTGTTACTATTAAATATTTGATTAAGCTCCAGAGATTCCTAATCGCTCTCTGCTTGTTGCCGAATCTGGATAGGATTCACAGATATCAGTCACTCAGAAACTGGTCGAAACGGTAATCACTAGCTGCGGGCACAATGAAGCTAAGGAATAAGGATTAATCGAAAAAATACAACAGGCACGAAGTTTCAAGGTCTGGCATTCATTTGTTTATTGAGACAATAAAAGAGAATCCAACACCAGTCAAAGATCAACGAATAATCGTTGAACCCGACTGGTAATAGTGGTACATGTTGCACAGGACGTTCTAAATTATGGACGAAAAATGAACGAACTGGAGTCCTGCTTCCTTGATTAAAGGGAGACAGGTTCCCTTGTCACGGAAAGGTCCTGGAGATCGAGTGGAGATGCTTAGCACGAACGAACCCAAGAGCTCCGCCTTGCATATTCTTCATCCGCAGCTGTAGGGTCTATAATTGGCTTTGAATCTCTCCCCTCGGAATCTGAGGCAAAACCTTGGAGCTGAAAACCTTCAACTGACAAATCTTTGCCGGGTACGAAACATACAAAACTTTGTCACAAAGTTTGCCACTAGACTAAGTACAAGCACAGTGAGACGGGAGGAATGGAAAATGGGAACTCTGAGTCGTGAGTTCACCGCGAAATAGAATATAATTTACTCTAATAATTACGATAAAGCAGAGGAGACTAGACGAGAAGGGATCGGAATGGGTTGGGACTTGGGGCCCGGATGACCGGGGCCTTCTTGGCACTTACTACTCTGGGCCTCATATTCAACTGTACTGGCAAAACTTGATCAGGAGGAAGGAAGGCTAGAGAAGGAGAGGAGCAAGAAGAGAGAGAGAAAGATTCAGAGCAGAGCAGAGGTAGGGAGGAACGCGTGCTCATTGTGCTGCACAGTGCTGGCTAATAGGCACGAGATGATGATGAGTAGTAGGGCGTGTGTGCGTGTGTTGTGTTTGTGCGCGTACTTGATCTGGCTGCGGGACCCACTTCTGCCATTTTGCTCTCAAGCCCGCCTGTACAAGTGTCTCCCCTGCGCTAGCTCAATTCATTCTATCGCTCTTCCTCTTTCTCTCTCTCTCACCCTCTCTCTGTCTCTAACTCTCTCTCTCGGTCTCCTCTCGTCTCCTCATCTTCTACTGTCTATCTCAACAACAACAAGAACACTTCATCCCAACAACAGATGTCTTATGATAAGTCCTATTCACAATTCAGTTGAATTTCCAGCCGCCGCCAAGAGATCACAGCAACTCGGCAGGCTCTCACATACATTCACTCTAATCAGTGTGAGTGGGTGAAGACCACTGCGGTCTAAAAAAAAAAGCAGAAGATCCAAAATATCAAGCTCTTTAAAATGGGTCAGGGAGAGCAGTTGCGAGAGCTCGTTCGCTCGATGGGCTGGTCGTATGCGGTCCTTTGGTCCATCCCGCCGCTCATGACGTGAGTGGTTCGATTCGGTTCAATTCTGCACTACTTGCTCCTAGTGTGCCCGTCCGTTTGAGATCTAATTGCTTTCTGAGTAGTGTGTCGTGCTTTCCTAGGAACGCAATCGTGATTCTGCTTCAATTTTGTTCCTCGAAATTTCAAATTCCGGCTGCCGATTTCTCGCTGGTCTGCCTGTCGGGTGCCGAAGAGGATCCGATTGCTGAGTCTGGAAGATTATGGGATTTTCGCTGTAACGGGCTAGAAGCAAGGAATTCCAATCGTCAATAAATACTGACACCTCTCTCTCTCTCTCTCCAGGGAGCTAGTATGGACTGATGGATGGTACGAAGCAAGCAATTTGAAGGTGAATGTCGAGCGACTGTTCAACTCTTCGTACAAAACATGTTCTTTTGCTCCAGGATATGGATACGTTGGCAAGGTATTCACTCAAGGCCAGCACATTTGGGTGACGGGGGATGCCGTTCACAGACAGAGCACTACGTCGGGTCAAGCCACCTTCTTCAGCTCAGCAGGCATTCAGACTTTGCTGTGCTTTCCATGGTTCAACGGAGTAGTGGAGCTGGGCGCAGAGGGCTTGGTGCCGCAGAACGATGATCTCTTGCAACAGATACGGAGGTTCTTGTCCAACACTCCGGCTTCCAAGCTGCAGCAGCAGCAGCAGCATCTGAGGGGCATTCCAGCCGGTGATGATAGTTGTCATAGCAGCAGGTTCAGTTCTCTGTCTCCGTCCCAAGGTCCTCTGACGTCTCAGGGGCTTTCATCAGATGATGCCGAGGGCGGGGGCCTCAGTGACACCACTCTCAACCAGCCGGTGGATTCTTGCCCATCTCTCTCAATGGAGGACAGAATTATGCGCCAGCATTTTCGTTTGACAGCAATGTCCGGGATCGATAGCAGCTGCTATTGGGCTCAAGGTCCTGCAGCGGTAGATGCAGAGATTTTGCTCCCTGCAAAATCCTCGTCCATGTCCCAAGTTACTGGCGCAGCGGCAGGAGGCCTCCACCATCAGGGGGCTCACAGCGGAATCACTGGAATGATTGGAGCAGACTGGAGACTGGATTTCGGCTCGGACATTCATCAATTGACGTCGTCGCCAACCAGCACTCTCCAGCAGGCAGTGTTCACTCCACTGCCCGGCACAGAGCATGAGGAGTTCGAATCGTCCTCGTTTCTCGTCGCTTCTTCGCAGCTGAACCAAACGGCCAAGTCCCTATACCAACAGCAGCAGCATTTGCAACAGATGGCCGCCAAGAGCCCGACCTCGTCGGGAGTGGAAATCAGCAGCAACCAACAACAACACCTGCGTGGATTCCTATCGACGAAGAAGACGGGCACTCCCGCTTTCAAGCCATGGAAAGGGCAGAAGCAAGTGATCGGAGTCAAGAGGCAAAAGAGCCAGTCGAACCAGGTGCTGTTGCAGCGATCGATTAAGATGGTTCATCAAATTTCTTTACTCAACCAGAAGAAGGATGAGAAGAAACGGACCGAGCAGATGGCTCTGGCCATGCGGCGTGCTCCCACCGAGGCCAGAGAATATCACTCTTGCCACGACGAAGCAGCCATCAACCACATGCTCGCGGAGAGGAAACGAAGGGAAAAGCAAAAGGAGAACTTCTCCGCTTTGCGAGCGTTGATTCCGTTCGTCAGCAAGGTTGGTTACAGTCACCCGCTCAACTCAATCTATCACGCACGAACCTTCCTCCGTATTTCAGCATCTAGAGCTCAGATCAATATTTCCTACGTCCGCCTCTCATTAGCTGCTGTAACTGACTCTTGGCTTTCCTTGCTTGCTTGAGCAGACGGACAGAGCATCGATACTGGGCGATGCGATTCAGTACGTAAAACAGCTGAGATCACGAGTTCAGGAGTTGGAGAGCATTAACCGTGAGCTGGAGGCGCAAATACCCAACAGTCAACGGAAGCCGAACTCTTCTGTATAATGGATCGATAAATTGATCGATTGATTGATTATGCGCAGTAGGAGTCACAAACCCCCCCGTCACATCCAATTGCCGCCAGTAGTTGACGTCCAATCACTATCGGCTCGTCCCTATGCCCCCATGTTAGTTACAATGTCACAAGCGAATTGTACATTACCATTTTTTGGCTCTTCCTGGCAGAATTTTGGAGTCTCCCGGGAAGTCCAGATCATACGTAGAGACTAAATGACCATCGACGATCATCCGCCTGCGCATCGCATCGCACTACTTTTTATAACTGAAGGTACTGTAGTTGCCGCCAGTGAGCCAGCTCCATTCGCAACTCCAACGTTGCCAACGGGGACTTTAGAACATCTCGAAGCTTAGAATCTGCTCAGCCATTTGTACAGATCCCCAACCCGAACCTCTCATTGCTGTAGTTTAGTCTGTTTGAGTAATCCGATTCCGGGGGTCTATCATGTACAGTCGAATTTTGAATATACAAGTAAAGAGATTCGGATTTTGATCAAAGCTTGAAAACGTTTGCATGGCGTTTGCGCTCCAAGTCTTCTATTTTTTGAACGGATGTCCATTATTTTATCATATCATAAACTGAATAAAAGTTAATATTTCAAAACATTCTAGTCTGCTCATAAAGATGTCTAACAACAAATATGAGCTGTCTGAATTTGACAAGGTTAAATACTCACCGGGGAAAAATCTAATAAGAAGCATCACACTACTTTCTTCATTAGGGAAGAGAAAGTTCTTTGACTCCTGTGTGGACATTTTGCAGGGGATGATATGCAAAATCTTCCATGTTTTTTGAAGCCACACATATATTTCACCACAAGTAGAAATAAGAAACTGATCTCTACGAATCCTTACTATGATTGTGTCTATTACGTTCACTTAATTTAACTCGATCATTGGCTCCATTGGAGTTATTTACAATACATCCATTACTTTACGTTTCGGTTTGACTCTAAACAGTCACATATTGATAAAATTTTCGTCGACTTCATTTGCATCAATAATGTCTCCATCTTCACATAGACTGTGTATGTTAGCAATGTTAAATTTATATGATGCCACCCATAGTTAGCTAAATCCGTGTATGTAGTAGGACCTACATTAACAATAGTACAAAACTGGCATAACGAGTTAGATACATGTGTGTATGTACGAGCATACACATCAAATGTTGTAATATTCAAGTAAGCTAAATCGCAGCGGATTATGCTCCGGACCTTTACAAACTAGATGAGAAAAAGGTTTGAAGAAGTGCTCTTTAATTGGCAGATTTTGGAGCTGAAATTTTTAAGTTCGTGGCTACGGTGGAAAAATCTGATGCATTAACCTCAAGTCTTTAAGTTCAAAGAGACTTTAGTTCAATTGTTATCTCACTTTCTTACTATTATGAGTCAAATGTCCTTGCATGCATTTTGAAATAATACTGTATTATTTGAATTACTCCAATTTGATTCAATAAGTTTAATTGTGATTTCCCAAACAAAAGAGATTATAACGAATGTTTGAATGCCTTCAGTTTATTGAATGTTATAATGCTTGAAATCTGATAATACTATTCTAGGTTGATAAAATTTCATAATTTTGAATATTTAAAAAAATTTATTCAAGTATTTTATGATCTTGTATTTCAACATTTAAATATCTATGTACAAGCAATGACTTTATTTTTTTTCTGTTATATTATTTTGCAAATAATTTCTCAAAATTTCTCAAAAATATTTTTTATATATTATATATAGAATATATAAAAAATATTAATCATTTGATTTCTTTAAGATCTAAAAAAAATTAATCTTTAGCTTCGCTGTTTGGACATGATGTTGTTCTAAAATATGTTTGAATAAATTTATCCAGGTCTAACCAGTTTAGCTTCAAAGTTTTGAGTGAAAAAGAATAAATATAAAGATTAATTTACTATGAAAATTATTTAAATTTTCAATTTTTGAAATTTTTGTATGCCAATATATGAAAATTATGCATATTATGTATAATGTGTCTATTGCAAAAAAATTGACTCCTGAAATGCAAAAAATTATGATTTATCATATTAACTTTACAAAATTATAAAAGCTGTCTGTGTGAAATAAATTTCTTGAAATAGATGAAAATAAATAAAAATAAAGAAAGGTTAATAATAATATTATTATTAATTTATATTTTTTTATATTAATTACATTATCTCTATTTTGTAATTATTTGATTTTGTAATTAATTTATATTTGTAATTACTATATATATTTTTTATATTTTTCAAAATATCTAAAATGCGATCTCATTCAGTTTATGTATCAAATGCATTAAATATTATATAAATCAAATGTAGTTCTTTATAGAGCTAGGGATGAACAAATTTACATATCTGATTTAAAAAATTTATTCAGTAAGATAACAAGCATTATAAATTTTAGATATTGTGTTATAATCATGTGATGTATTTATTGAACTCAATTGAAATCTTTCATACAAATCAAAACATACTATTGAATAATTACATATTTATAAAAAAAACTATAATATATTTTAATAGGAATGCATTTGTAATGAACAATCCATCAGTTTCCAATGTTGTCGTGCGAATACATATTGCCATACTCTCTACATTGCTGACATGCTACTCACATACACATAAGCACACACATACACACATATAAGGCGCGAGAGAGTACACACTCAAATGTCACAACTCGCCCCCCTAGCTGGCGGTCAGGTCCCTCTGACTCCCAGGTAGCACTATCTACAATTACATGCTATACACCTTCGTGGGTGCGCGAACCAGTAGGCCGGGTGCTATGTCGCCCCATCGTTAGTCGCCTATGTGCAATTCATAACATGTGAAGATCAAGTCATCTACCCCTATGAAGTACATCGAGGACAAACCCATCGTCCAGCCGGAATAACATCGATAGGCGGAGTTAGGCACAACATGTGCCATCCCCTAGAACACCTATCACACACAAACATACGGGCCGCCTTACCAGCCGACCCACACAGCATGCACCTCAAGCCAGCACGTACTATCGCTAAGCTTGGGTCCATAGTGCCATCTACGTTTGGGAGGTGGCATGGCGCACAATTGCGCCCATGATCCTTCCAAACAACGCCATCACGACCCTCCAACAGGAGAACTCCAGAAGGTAACACCTCCCGCACCCGCAAGATTGTGCGTCCCGCCGTCACATCCAATGTCGTCGGTGCAGTCTGCTGTAGATAGACGTAGTCTCCAACATGGAATCTACGAATTGATGGTCGATAACCTCCTCCCCGAATGGTTGCATACCGCAACGTATCTCTATGTTGAGCAATCGCAAGATTTTCAAACGCTGCAGGCATAACTCTCTGAAAGAGCTCTGCACGTTGAGAACATACTCTCACCCACATATTCGAGTCATCAAGGTTCACCACCTCGCTAGACTCACGACGAATCGATGTTGGCAAGTCTGGATCTCGGCCGTACAATAGAAAATATATAATAACAATAGAAAACGGTACCTCTTGGCCCGTTGGAGAACACTATCTCGCTCCTTGGCACCCACTGTGCCTGGCACCATGCTGGTCCGTAGGAACTCCAACACCAATGCATCATCATGTACATCACGCTGATCCACACCACCATCCTCAACCTCAGGATCTGAAGATCGGCCATCTACTCTCTGACTAGAGTAAGATGTCAGATGATCCTCTCTGCTGGAGTTCCCACGTAACCAACACATGAAGGCAGATGCATGCCAACCAAGCACCATCTCCTCGTCAACCTCACCATGCCATCTAGCTCCAATGTCATCCTCCTGGCTAGTGCATGGGTTTCGACTCAAACCATCGGCATCTAGGTTCGCAACTCCAGGTCTATGCACTACCTGAAAGTCGTACTCCTGTAAGATGAGAGCCCACCGTGCAAGCTTCCCTGTAAGCTTGTCGGACTCCATCAACCACTTGAGCGGTTGATGATCAGTAACAAGGGTGAACTGCGTACCAAACAAGTAACACCTGAAGTGCGCCACAGCCCACACCGCTGCCAAGCACTCTCCCTCGTACGAACTATACCGCGACTCCGCTGCATTGTTCGAACGACTAGCGTACGCAACCACAAACTCCTTGCCCTCATCATCACGCTGCGTCAACACCGCTCCAAGTCCCAACATACTCCAATCAGTGTGCAATTGGTATGGACGACCTCTGATAGGTCTCCTCAAGATGGGAGCGGCCACCAACCTGGCCTTGAGTTCAATAAAAGCTCTCTCCTGCTCATCTCCCCATTGCCACTCCTGATCTGACTTCAGCAACTGGTTCAAAGGCTTGGCTATAGCACTAAACCCCTTCACATACCTTCGGTAGTAGTTCGCTAAACCCATGAATGCACGAACTCTACTCACATCCGTGGGACGAGGGATGCGTGCAATAGCCTCCACCTTTGCTTGCTGAACTCCTAAACCACCTGGGTATATCACATGACCCAAGTACTCAACCTTCTCCTGGAAGAACTTACACTTCCCAGGATGTAACCTCAAACCATGAGCCCTCAATCGCTCAAACACAATCTGCAAGTGTATCTGGTGTTGCTCCACAGTGTCACTAAACACCAAGATATCATCAATGTAACATCCGACAAAATCCAGCCCCGCCGGGATTCTGTCCATAAGCCTCTGAAACTCGGCAAGTGCATTCTTCAACCCAAAGGGTAAGAATCGCCACTGATACAAACAATCATTGCCGTGGGAGTTGACGCCCCAAAACGCTGTCTTGGTTTTGTCCTCCTCCCGAATTGGCAACTGATAGTATCCTGCCCAAAGTACTAAAAATCCTCGCATGTCCCACCACATCGAAGATCTCCTCCGGTGTAGGCATGGCATACTTATCGGACTTCGTCTGCCGATTGATAGGACGGTAGTCTCCACACATGCGCCTATCCGTGTAGTTGCCATGTACATCCTTCTTCATTTGCTTGACTGTGGCTGACGCATACTCACCATGCGATAACTCCACTAGTCTAGCCTCCAGTAGGTCCAACGTCCTACTCCGAATCAAATCTCTCTCCATCTCACTGTATCGATAAGGACGACGGAAGATTGGCGTATCACTAGCCAGTTCTATCTGTATACCGGGTCCAATCAACGCACCCAACTCCTTCATACTGAAAGCAAAACAACTCCTATAGTCTCGTAGGAATTGTGTCAATCGTCGCCTCTCTTCTCCTGTGATCTGGAAACCAATCAATGACTCCCATTCCTCCTCCATAAGCACACTAGAGGGAGTCGACACTGTCAATGGTTGCTACGCTACACACTGCAAAGAAGGATTCTCCGTACCCTCCTTCGTAGCCACCTCCACCTGAGAATCCTCTCCAACTGCATGGGCTGCAACTCTGGCAAGTCCTTTCGTCACGTCCCATAAACTCCAAGGATGCCGAATATCTCGCCTGTCGCCCCCAGCCATTGCCACTACCGTCCCGGTAGGCAATGAGCTAATAAGTGGTGTAACAACCACCAAATC